GGTTCTAGGAGCCACCTACCCTGCAATCCTCGCCGGGACCCCCCGCCGCGCCCCCAGCGCGTCTGACACCCCCAGCCCCCCTGAGGCCTCTGGGCATAGCTTTCACCCACCCTGCAAAATCCTGCTAAGTGTATCGATATTGCTGTACCGTGCTGCGATGCTGTGCTGAGCTGTGCTGCGCCGTGGTGAACTGCGGTGCGCCATGCCGCGATTGTCCTCTATAGTGTTGTGGATCGAGTCCTCCGTTGCATACGAGTCCTGACCGAACTGAATTGGATCCTCAGCGCGAGCTGCCTGAGCACTTAGTCCACATGGTAGCTGCCCCAGAGGTAACAAGCAATGGAACATGCCAGGAAGACGCGCCGCGCAACGTTCCAAGGGACGCGCCAGGCGACGTGCCAGAGGACATGCCATGGGGACGCACCGTGGGACGTGCCAAGGGGACGCGCTACGGAACGTGCCAATGGCTGTGCCACGGGACGTGCCAGGGGACGCGCCGCGCGACGTGCCAGGGGGATTCGCCACGGGACGCGCCACGGAACGTGCCAGGGAACGTGCCAGGTTGCAATGCTGGGCGAATGTATCGATCTTGATGTACCGTGCCGAGGGCTGTGCTGTGCTTCGCAGTGCTGAACTTCGATGTGCCATGCCACGATTGTGCTCTATAGTGTTGTGGACCGAGTCTTCCCTTGCATACGAGTCCTGGCCGAACTGCTGTGGATCTTAAGCGCGAGCTGCCTGAGCACATAGTTCACACAGTAGCTGACCCAGAGGAAACTGACAGGGGACCATGCCAGGAAGACGCGCCGCGCAACGTGCCAAGGGACGCGCCAGGCGACGTGCCAGGGAACGTGTCATGGAAACGCACCGCGGGACGTGCCAAAAGGATGCGCTACGGAACGTGCCAATGGACGTGCCACGGGACGTGCCAGGGGACGCGCCGCGCGACGTGCCAAGGGGATTCGCCACGGGACGCGCCACAGAACGTGCCAGGGAACGCGCCAGATTGCAATGCTGAGCGAATGTATAGTTCTTGATGTACCGTGCCGAGGGCTGTGCTGTGCTTCGCCGTGTTGAACTGCGATGTGCCACGGCACGATTGTGGTCTGTAATCCCACCAGCCCTTTGGGCGTGAGTGGTTTAGAGAGCCCGCTCTGTTCTCAACCCCCTTCTTCCCCTTCGGGGATGGGGTTTACCCCTCCCCCTACCCCCTCCCCCTGGGCCTGGAGAGGTCGTTCCGCGGGTGGTTGGAGGGGTCTTGTTCGACTCCTGGGAGGGCTAAAATTCCACACCCCTCACGGGGATCGTGGCCCCGACGGGGGAGGGGAGAAAAGTGGTCGCCCCATCTGTGATCGATCGCCCGAAAGATCGCCCCAAGATACCTCCCAGACCCCTCCCAAAGAGCCCCAAGAGGCCCCAGAAGCCTCCAAGAGGCCCCCAAGATGCCCCCAAGAGGCCCCCAAGAGGCCCCAAGAGGCTCCCCCGAGGCACCCAAGACGCTCCTGGAAGCCCCAGGGGCCGCCAAGAGGCCCCCAAGACGCCCCAAACGGCCTCCAAGAGGCTCCCAAGAGGCCCGAAGAGGCTCCCCCAAGGCACCCAAGATGTTCCCAGAAGCCCCTGGGGCCGCCAAGAGGCCCCCAAGACGCCCCAAAAGGTCTCAAAGAGGCTCCCAAAGGACATCCCAAGAGACTCCGCGATGCATCCAAGAGGCCTCTGGCCCTTCTGCTCGTCCTCCCCTCCTCGTCCGCCTCCCCCTCTTCTTCCTCCCTCCTCCCCTCCCCCACCTCCTCCTCCGATTCCTCCTCCATCCCCCCCTCTTGGGATATGGCGGCATCCTCTGTCCTTCGCTTCTCTGTATGCTCCCACACTTCCCTGATCGAATCAAAGCAACTCCTCTGGGCATCATTGCTGATAAGATGACCAACAAATCCCGACAGTCGGTACTCTTTGCTAAAGTGGCTGTTTTAGGATGGGCTGGTGGGGATTCGCGAAGCGTGAACAATTTTGTGAATCGAGTCCTCCGTTGCATACGAATCCTGACCGAACTGATTTGGATCTTAAGCGCGAGCTGCCTGAGCACATAGTCCACACAGTAGCTGACCCAGAGGAAACTGACAGGGGAACATGCCAGGAAGACGCGCCGCGCAACGTTCCAAGGGACGCGCCAGGCGAAGTGCCAGGGGACGTGCCATGGGGACGCACCGCGGGACGTGCCATGGGGACGCGCTACGGAACGTGCCAATGGACGTGCCACGGGACGTGCCAGGGGACGCGCCGCGCGACGTGCCAGGGGGACTCGCCACAGGACGCGCCACGGAACGTGCCAGATTGCAATGCTGAGCGAGTGTATCGATCTGAATGTACCGTGCCGAGGGCTGTGCTGTGCTTCGCCGTGTTGAACTGCGATGTGCCATGCCGCGATTGTGCTCTATAGTGTTGTGGACCGAGTCTTCCCTTGCATACGAGTCCTGGCCGAACTGCTGTGGATCTTAAGCGCGAGCTGCCTGAGCACATAGTCCACATAGTAGCTGCCCCAGAGGTAACTAACTGACAGGGGAACATGCCAGGAAGACGCGCCGCGCAACGTTCCAAGGGACGCGCCAGGCGACGTGCCAGGGGACGTGCATGGGGACGCACCGCGGGACGTGCCAAGGGGACGCGCTACGGAACGTGCCAATGGACGTGCCACGGGACGTGCCAGGGGACGCGTCGCGCGACGTGCCAGGGGGATTCGCCACGGGACGCGCCACGGAACGTGCCAGGTTGCAATGCTGAGCGAGTGTATCGATCTTGATGTACCGTGCCGAGGGCTGTAAAGTGCTTCGCCGTGTTGAACTGCGAAAGGCCATGGCACGATTGTGGTCTGTAATCTTGTGAATCGAATCCTCCGTTGCATACGAATCCTGACCGAACAGTTTTGGATATTCAGCGCGAGCTGCCTGAACACATAGTCCACATAGCAACTGCCCCAGAGGTAACAAGCAATGGAACATGCCAGGAAGACGCGCCGCGGAACGTTCCAAGGGACGCGCCAGGCGACGTGCCAAGGGACGTGCCACTTGGAGGCACCGCGGGACGTATATATATATGTATATATATACACACAAATATTTATATATACGTATTGGTGTAACTATACATATATATACACATACATACATACATACATACATACATACATACATACATACATACATACCACGCGCGCGCGCTACACGCGCGATTAGGTCCTAGTTGACTCCGGAAACGATGTCAGATGACATGAGAACCAGGAAACCAGGAGAGAGGCCCGCCATGCATAGAACCTCTTTCGGCCTGATTGCGGGGGTTCCTCGGAAGTGGCTCCGGAGTCTGGGAGCGGGAGTGAAAAGGGGGTGGAGGAATGAGAAAGGGTGGAGAGAATGGTCTGTGGACGGTCTTGGGGTGCCCCTTGAGCCATCTTGGCATCTTGCGACCAGCTCGGGGGTCCGACCGGAGCCAGCCTGCCTGGGACGTCTGACATGCTTGGGGACCCGTCTGGGGACAACTTGGACTGTCTCCGAAGGTATTGGAAGCCCCAGATGCCCCAATAGCAGCCCACATGCAATCTGGGGAGGGCTTGGGCCCAGGGGCCGCCTGGGCCAAAGATTCCGCATGGAACCGAACCCCAAACCTGAAAATCTGCGTGTACGTGGCACGTGCCCCCTGAGCTTCCCGACGTACATCTGGGAACCCCTACGTCTTCCCGCGCAACTTTTTCGAGCCCGCGAAAAGCTCAAAACGGGCCCAAAGAGCCCCAAAAGGCCTTCATAACGATCCTACTGGACACCGAGATGCCAGCCTCCAGAACGACCCGTTGAACAATGCCTCCCACATGCTGTTGTCTTTCCTGCTTTTCATCTTCCCCACTCCTCGCGATTCGGGTGACGGAACCTGCCCCAAGAATCCTGAAATCTATCCACGCGTTGTCGCGGGGCATATGCAGTACACAATCCCCCCACCTGTGGTCTTGCCACAGAGATGCGCGGCGTGCCAACTTTCTACCTTCTTGACATCTTGCACAACCCGTGGCGAGAGCAACCGCAACAGCAATGGCGGCCTCGGCGACGCCGAGCAAGCTCTGAACACCAGAGCAGCTCAAACCGACACGCATCGCCCCGATCTGGGGTCGGCGGCAGAGGCGGCAGCCTTTAGATAACTCACTGAATTATGAAAGGAGGAACGTACAGGAAAGGGAGGGGCGAGGAAGAAGGCGGAGGCGAAGCGCAAGGCGCGTGCGGCAGCAACGGCGGGACAGCAATGACAGGGAGAGGAAAGGAGAGGGGCGGCCGGGGGCAGGGGCGGTCGGGTCGGCGGTGAGAGTGGCAGTGGTGGTGGTCATGGCGCCGTCGTGATGGCCGCGGTCGTGGTCGTAGTGCTGGTCTGCACTGGTCGCGGTGGCGAACGTGCCGGCGCTGGTCGTGGTCGTGGCGTCGGTGGTCATGGGGGTCGTCGTGTTCAGAGTCGTCGTTGTGGTGTCCCTCATCCCTACTTCCCCCTCCTGCTCTCTCCTCATCCCATTCCCAAGTGCTACGGGAAAAAATAAATCCCATGCGACCGCTCCTGCCACTTGGGATGCGCGGCCAACGGGACCGCGCAATCATAACACTCGCCATGGATGTGAATCGTCCCGAGGACAAATGTGTTGTGAGGGCCTTTCTGTCTTCTCTCCGGGGGCCCCGCGGCACCTTTCTCTCCATGTATCCCGCAACGACGACTCGTCCAAACGCGGGGTCAGCCCGCCTGACCAAACCCCTAGTCCAACGCGTCCTCATTTCTTTCTCTGCATCTGACTATTTAAGACATGCTGACCGGCCTGGGCCCGACTTGTTTGCCTAAACGTTCGTCTTGGCTCATCATGGCCCAGCCCTACCGCTGGCCCATGCGTCTGACCCAGAAGATGCTCATCGCCTCAACTGCCTTCTGGCCGATCAACCAATCATCCGAAAACATCAATTCCCAACTGCCTGCTTCCCGGAGACCTGCTGCAGCTGCTGCTGTGGCAGCTGCTGCTGTTGCTGGTTCAGCTGCTGCTGCTGCAGCTGCTGCTGAACATGCAGCTGCTGCAGCTGCTGCGGGTGCAGCTGCTCTGGGTGCAGCGGCTGCTGCAATTGTGGCTGCAACTGCAGCTGATTCAACTGCTGCTGCAAGGAGTCCGCCTGGGCAAGGCCCAGAGAGGCTTTAGGGACGGAGGAGCCCACAGGGAGGGAGGAGGAAGACGAGTATGAGAGGGAGTATAATCGAAGGACGAGGATGGATACGGAGGTGGAGGAGGAGGAGTAGGACGGGGAAAAGGAGGGGAGAGGAATGGAGGGGGGAGGAAGGGATGAGGATAAAGAAAGACGGCGGTGGATTGGCAACAAGGGAGGAGGGAGGAGGAGGAGGAGGAGGAGGAGGAGGAGGAGGAGGAGGAGGAGGAGGAGGAGGAGGAGGAGGAGGAGGAGGAGGAGGAGGAGGGGAATGATGATGAGGAGGCATCAGGAGCGAGGAGTTTCGAGGGGGAGGAACAAGAGGAAGGAGGAGGGAGGACGAGTAGGGAAGAGAAGACAAGGGAGAGTATCATGTGCAGGACGGGAAGGATGGAGACGAATAAGACGCATGAGGAGGATGGAGACAGAGAGGAGCAAGGATGGAGGAGGGGACAAGGGGATGAGGAAGAGGACGATGAAGGACGAGTAAGGATGAACAGGGATCGAGGAACTATAACGAGGGAAACATAATAAGACATTCGTGGGCCAAATGAGAGGGAGCGGGTGGAATAAGCAGGAAGATGAAAGAAACATACGAGGGACGCGGAATATAAATATTAGGATGAGGAGGAACAGACGGCGGAGGACGCGGACGACGTGAACGATGGGAAGAGGGAGGCACGGAACGGAACGGAACGCTCATGCGGGCATCTGCCTGGGCCCCTTAAGGGCGGAACGCGTGAGGCCATGGCCTCGCAGGTAACACCAGGAACATCCATAGCCTACTCAAGATGCTGGTGTCACTGGGGTGATGGAAGACGTATAGGTAACGAACCTCTTTCCGCTTGTTCTCAATCATTTGTTGTAGGAAAAAGGAGGAACACATGGGCACACCTCTACAACCGCACCCGTCGCTGCCGGCCTCACGCCGGCGCCCCCTCGCGGCCGGCCCTCGACCCCCGCACGTGCATCGGCTCTGGTTGGTCACTCCCTCGCCAGGCGTTTCACCTGAGCCTTCCTTTGGACGCACACTGACATACTAGTACTATGCGTCCTCCTCAGAGGCGTGCGTCCGAACATCTGGCACAAACATCGCCCCCCGAGCGGCATGGCCAGAAAGCACCCGCCACGGAGCTTATACTAACAGATTTCTCGGCGCGCGCGTCGCCCCTGGCGGGGGTGAGGCACACGTAGTATTGGTATGTTGGGGCGACGCTGATTTCTCACGAATCATGATCCTAAAGCTGGAAACCTGCAACACTTGTGAGGAAAGTTAGCGATTGTTTTCAAAATGAAACTCTCGTCTGGACGTCGCGCACAGTCGCGTTCAACCTTGCAACTATTTCACCGAGAGAGCGCGCCCACAGGGCCCGAGCAAAGGGGGAGGGGGGGCTACGGTGAAGCTACCCCCCTTCTCCCTTGAGCCGCCCTTGCTGGAAACACCCCCCCCATCCCCCCCGCTGTTTTTGCCAGGGGGGGAGGGGGGGGGGGGAGGGGAGGGTTTGCAGCTACCCGCCCCCTCCCCCCTTGGGCCCTCCCCGGAAGCTACCCCCCCCATTCCCCCCCTTTCTAAAGGAGGGGGCCTCGAGACGGCTGAAGGGTAAGATGCGCTGGTGTTTGTTGCAATGGCCCTGCCCCGTGCAAAACCCATTTCCTGACCATGGCAGGGCAGAACATCGACGACGTGTCGTAAGCCTCGGTGACCCTCTTCCCATTTGGGTTCATGTACTCGCGCACAGCGTCGCCGCTCTCGCCATCGTCAATCGCAGTCGAGTTTCGGGCCTGCTCGATCTTATCGGGGTGCGTGCGGACGGAGTACAGCTGACGAGGCTTAATCAGAGTAGAAATGAAATCTTTCTTGATCTTGGCGAAGGACGTTGAAGCCTGCGCCCGTCGAGCGCGCGGCTGGCCACTGACGTGCGACCTGAGCTCGCTCCAATCCTGTTGGGAATGCCATCCGTATCGGTAAACCTGGGCGCAGTAAACAGCATCTGAAACACGTTTGGGCACTAGCGCGCCCCTCCTCCCCGTCTTACTTTGCAACACAGCCTTGTGCTTGTTCCAGTAAGCGTGGAGCTTGTCTGCCCACCCAAGAGAACAATAAAGGTCGTATTCCGTCAAATTCTGGTTCAAACGCACTCCACTGGCCTTGAATCGAAAAGACGACCCCGTAGATGCCGTCGCACTGCGGGCCAGCTGCCCGTGAACTGCCTCAGCGCTAGCCCCGTCGAACTTCGCGTACTCGAGTGCTTTGATCTCGGCGTCAAGTCGAGACGACATCCCGCGGCCCTCGCAGTGGTCGATGAAGTCGGCGCTGAGATCGCCCTCGCACCACCTGACGGCCACGCGGTGATGCTGCGAGCCATCCACCACGCCCCGACGATACAGGCCCAGCAGTTCTCGAGCAATCGCTGGATGCCGTGCCTCCCAGAAGCGATATGGCAAGTGATCTAAGAACTTGAACTTGTGTTTGGCCGCGCCCAAGAGATGGCTGTACGCCGCATGAACAGCACGGTAGATCTCGCCTGTCGGGTCGTCATCGGAAGTCGTGCGGAGGGCAATCTGGTTGTCCCGCCACCTGGCCAAAGTATCCTGGTGCCTCTGTCGAATCTGAGGGCCTCTGCGCGACTTCCGACTGTTTGGGCACTTGGAGGTCACGCCCCTCCTGGCGTGCTCAATGCACTCCTCCTCGTGGCACGGGCAGCCTTGCATCCAGCTCCTCTCAACGTCGATGTCCTGGCCGAGGTCGCAGACGACGTTGAGCTTGGCCCAGAAAGAACCGTCCCGAGCAATGGCATCAACTCTCCTGGCATCGGGGCTTTGCGTGGGCATCCGATCTAACCTCCAGCTGCAATGGAAGCCAGTGCCCATGGCTAGGATGTCTGCCGCTGCAGCAGAAACCGTACCCCATCGCAACTTGAAGCACGACCGAGGGGCTTTGGCAAATTTCTGGGCCTCGGTCGGAAGCAATTCCTCCAAAACGCAACGTAAAATACCTCGGCGTCCGTCGTCGCGGTGGAAGGCGACCAAGTGGTTCAAATCGCCAAAGAAGGCGTCCCACCACTCCATGCCGTTAAACACAATCCTGAGAATGGGATCCCAAACGTGATTCCCCTCCGGTAGCCAAAACGCGTTCGGGAACAAAAACGCGTCAGACAGATCAGCAACAGACACATGCGCTGCCTCACCCTTCAGAAAAGCCTTCGTACAATCTTTGAAATCGATGACGTGACTTTCCGTGCCACTGTCTGGGGATACCACCCGAACGGATTCGCACCAATGCCTGATCCACAATTCTTTATAGCCGCTCTCTAAGGCGATGGTGTGCAGGACGGCGACAGCCTCATCTGCGGCCGTGAAGTGGCCCACGCCAAGAGTGCAGACAGGCAGCGTGCGAAACTGCGCCGTGGTCATGTCGGCATGCTGATGGCAAAACTCACGAACTGAGAACAACTCGATGCCCCTTCTGAGGGCTTGCGTCGTACCACAGCTGTCGCATCCAGCCGCCCTGCCGATTCAGAACCTGTCGTAACAACATCATGGCACTATCAAGCCTGAGACGTGCTTTCACTGAAGTCTTCTCCGACGGAGCTGCAAAATCATCTTTTGTATTTTTTCAATCACCTGCGCGGATTCCCCAGGCAGTGCGAACTCCAAACATCTCTGAACGTGTTCCTGCATGTGTTTGATTGTTTGATACTCTTGATGCCCGTCTGAACCTTGAGCGACCGAATCAAATGAGCAGGTGCGAATCTCCTTCCTCTTACAACATCTCTCCGACCGACTACGTGCAACGCGTACTTACGATCGTCCTGAGGTTGCTCGGCGTCGCTTCCTCTTTGACGAGGAGGCGCCTTCTGGGTTCCAAGGTAAGCCAACACCACGCGATCAGAGAGAAGCGAAGGGAAGAACACATCACGCACCCGCTCGCGAAATATCAGCTGATACAAATCAAACCCCAGAAGACCGCGTGCATGCATGACCGCCAGGGTTGGATGAACAAGCCAGTTCTGCGGTTTCCCCAGGAAACCGTCCAGGTCGTACTTTGACCTCCAGCGGGTGAACAACTCGTGTGCCGAGGGGTTATGTGCATCACCGTGCGCGTGCCCATGTTGATCGATGGCGTGCTGGCAAACATGCACTCGGATGGAAGCATCAAACCATTCACCGAAACTAAACGCGAATTCTCCAGAACTCACATCCCCGAGGCCCTGGGGAAGCTCAATGGGGACGTCCAGAAACGCTGGCTCCTGGATCGGCACACTCTGATACCCAAACCTTTGCGTTCGCCGATCTCTCTTCGATTCGAACTCTTTCATGAAATATCGTTGCATGGTCGCATCGTTTTCGGTGCACGCATCTGACGCATCCTCTCCAACGCCCAACAACTTGAATGATCTGACGACGGCGAAACCATACAGTCTGACAACGTCTGTGTCGTCGCATGGAATATCGACCGAAAAGCGCTCTAACACCTCACATCCGAAGGCCCCCACGTTTGTTGTATGAGACCCGCTCGAGCTCAACTTGAAACACTGTGACCGCCTGCCTAACTGAGAGCCCAGAACGGCAACAATCAAAAACGGACCAACACGGTCTGCATCTGTTCGTTTCCTCTTCCCGCTGCGAGCGAGACGCTGCCGCAGCGGGTCGGTGCGAGTCATCGCAACGTGAGCCAAGCACAACGATTCCATCGGCCATCCGAGAATCAAGAAAGAAGCCGAAACTACATTGGAGCCCCAATTGTTATGGAAAACAAAGAGCCGAAATGGTTACGGAACACATTGGGCGACATAAGTGTCCTTTGTGATTCACCTGGGCACATGCTTTCGGGTTCCCGACGGGGCGGCAATGACACATGAGCGCTTCCGAAAGGACACGGGCGAGCGGCCTTCGGACCCGAACTAACCAGGGGGGAGGGGATCAAAGAGACCATGTAAGGAGAGACGCACGGGGCGATTACAAGAGGC